GGGGGGGGGGGGGGGGCGGATCGGTGCTTCCTACAGAAATCGCCCTTCGCAAAATTAATGTAGATTCTCCGAAAAAAGTTGGTTTCCTTGGTAACTGACACCAAGAAACTCTGATTTCATAGTCTTGGAGCTTTCCTGATTTCCCTTGGTGTCAAACACTTATGATACTACCTTTTTTCGGAGAATCGACGTACATTTTGCGTTCAGGTACTTTTAGGCATTGAATGGGTCAATTTCAACTCAGGGAGGCAATTAATATTTAAATTCGTTGTGCTGTTGGATATGGATGCAATCAATTTGCGATTCGAAAAGGAACCCAGACTTTTAAAATGGAATCCGCCTCAATGAACGATTCGTTTTTCTCATGCCTAAAAACCCCTCAATACCAAGTTTCATGCAAATCCACCGATAGACAGCCTAAATACTCCCTTACCGCTCCAGGTCGCCATTTTGACCGCCGCCATTTTGAGAAGGACAGGATGTCCGGAAAATAATGCCAGAATCGTTTCCCTCGTCCCAAAAAACCGTCTGATACCAGTTTTCGTCCCAATCCGTCAAAAAAACGGAGCTGTCAAATTTCCATGATTTTGAACTTTGACCGGCCGCCATTTTGTCAAAAATTAAGATTTTGACTTGCGGTTTGCGCCAAAAATTTTCTTTTTTTATTCGATTGATGTGTCACAAGGGGGGGGGGATTGCTATTTGAAAAAAAAAAGTTGGGTTCCGCAGCCCCTCCCCACGGGGGGGCCCGAAAATTTTGGAGGGCCCCAAAAGTAGCTAACATTGACCGATGAACATCCCCAAAGTTCCGTTTCAAAATATTAATTACGTAAAATTTTAGAGGGGGTGGAAGGAACTTTTGGGACACCCTGTATTGCCAACGCAAAGCAAGGAAAGAAGGGCCATTCATCTTTTAGTGATCACCTGATCGACAACAAACATTAAATAGACAAAATTAGCATACTCAGGAAGTGCAAAAAGGGCAAAATTATGAACATGCTGGAACAACTGGAAATTGAAAGAAGAAAGAAATCTGGAAAACTACTGAACACCCAAGTAAAAAGACAAGTGGCACGCCTGTTTTTCCCCCCTCCTTACTAGAGCTCACGGAGTTGCAACCACGAGCTCGAACGGATTGATAATCGTGACAGTTTGTCCTAGTACCACTTCTTCCGTGATAAGTCAAGTGAGGTATTAGTTCGTTACAGAATATTGACGGCGATATTCCCAAACCAGGTATATCGTTTGCAATATTTGAAAATTCCAAGAATTCTGCAACGTCGCAAAGCGATACATGCTTTGGTTGTTTCATTGTAATTTTGGTCATAGATTTCCAGTATGACATGATGAATACCACCTGGTTAATAGGGGCTGCCCAAAACTCAGAAAAGACTGATAAGTTTGAAGAGGACTTAAGCAAGTTAAATAATGACGCAATGAGTGAAGTGAAGTATTATTCCCTGTGTAATTTTGATAAAATGTGAAGTAAAAAATTAAGTGGAAAATGAATGGTCAAACAGGGCGCCTCAAATCCACGATGACTGCCTGTAAAAGGCAGTAGTGTTAACCGGAGGTGTAGGTATAATGCTGAAAGGCATTATCTGAACGGTGTCTGCGTGCAACATAGTTCCTTTTAGCATTACGTCTTATTTTAAAATATGCTTTTATGATACATCTTCGAAAATAAGGTACCGATTTCCGTGTAAGTAACATCTGCGTTTAAAATCCCTTTACCTCCCCTGAGAACCAAGACTCTTTTTCTTCGAAATGTGAATAAAGCGAATCAGGTCATGTGAAAATCATGGCGAAATAAAAAAAATAACTACCAATCCCTAAAATCAAAAGTTGACGACACCATTGTTCAAAAAATGTACTGAGGAACATCATCCGGTGGTATGAATCACCAATGTTTTCATTTTTTCATTCTTTTTCCTTTAGTAATAGGTAACTCGGTTGTAAATATCGCTCATCCAGCAGTTTCTCTTCGAATTGTACATTTATTTGGACTGTATTTTGCAATTTGGAACTATAAATTCTGGCTCGTCTGGAAAAACACTTATGTTCATAGGGAAACTAATGGCACATACGTTGTTTTTAAACCGGGCAAGAATTTATATTTCTAATTTGCAAAATATAGTCCATTTGTAGCGTCGTTTTATTGGTTCTTCATATGGAGATAGTCACCATCCTCAATTTCAGCTCTTATTGAGGAGTAATATTAATTGCGAACGTTTAAGAAAACTGTTAGATTTATTTCAAAGATTTTTCACTATCACACTTTGAAATTTTCTGTTCTGTCCTTTAAATTTAGAAGTCATATACTTATCCCATGCTCGGAAGACACTTCATGATTATGGGGCATTTTCTGCTGTAAATTTAAAATTTACGACCAAAACTATCTAAATTCACCAAAAATAGTGCGGCATCTTAATCCTGCGGTTCCTGGTAACCTGCGGATTCGGCCTGGATTGTCAGATTTCCTGACAATCCAGGCCGAATTTTTGTCCTCCAGGCAAATTTTTGTCCTGACCAGGTGTCATTCATCCGATCATAGATAAGATCTGATAAAAGACAAATTAATTTTGAACCTCTAATCAAAATGCTAAATCAATATTATCCAGAGATCGTTACCTTACTTTCAATTTAAAATGTAATACACTAATCAAACTTTAAAAGTTACCCTCCCGCCATTTAAAGTTGGCCGCCATCCTAGATTTGATGCACCTTGTTTGACCACGGGCTTTGTTTGACACTATATTTGAAATTTACGACTAAAAGGACATAGGAATTGACACCTCATACCACACGAGATGCACATTTTAAATCACCTTAATGCTTGATAATCTAAACACGGCCACCTTTTTGAATTTTAGGCATTTTATGGGGTGTTCCGCGGAGGAGCCATGGAAAACATTTTGTATGTTTTGTGTCATTCAAGTCAACCCGATGATGGTATTCTTGTAGGAAAAGTCTATCACGTAATTTGTTCCGAGTTAGCCCTCTTTCTCCCTAATTTCTCCCGGACTGAACGAGAATTTGTGCCAAATTGCCGGAAAAATATGGGTTTTCGAATTTTACTTTAAAACGGTTGCACTTACAGAAAAAACGATTAGAAAGTGATTTGTTGGAAATTAATTCTATGCATTTTTGTCGTATTTGCCATTGTTGCCAAGTTATCGTCAAAAAAAATCTGGATTTTCGGCTAATTTTGACGTCAACGTCAATCCGGAAGGCCTTAACGTTGACGAAAAAATTCAGGAAAATTCAGTTGTTATTTTTAGACCATTTCGTCACTATTGTGCTATGTCCATCTTCAAAATGAAAAGAAGCCCAAACAAGCAGTGAACTCCAACACAATGTGTTGATAAGGCGCGTCATTAACTCGCACAAATCAACCCCTTTAGTTTTCATTTATAGAGATTTCAAAATAGGTAAGTAGCACAACAAGAGAATTCATACGATCCAAAACTGAAAGATCAACGATGCACTTTGACGAGACCGTGTATTGTGAATGTAAAAAGCCATTCGAACGAGTTTAAGTTTTTTGATCGGCCCCAAGCAAAACCTTATCAGATTCTTGAGGAAAAGTGCTACGCAATAATTTAAGCGAAGAAAGAAAAAATTTTGTCGAACTCCTGAAAGATAAAGTCGATTTAAAGGTATTTTGGGGCTAAAATACCCAAATCACCAGCATTATAAATCCCGTTATATTATTGAAAAGAAATTGACTCGACATAAATTCAATGCATTAGATATGTCTTGATTTTGTTATTTTAAACGTATTTCCATGCAAAGAAGTTCAACCATGTCCATGCTTTATTCATTCATGAATTGAAAGTAAGCAATCTACATCCCGAAAATCTACCGATTTGCCGTATTAAATTGTAGAAACTTGATATACCAAGTCGATGCACCCACTCGTTGAATTTACCAACCAATTTTGTGAGTGCAAATATGTAAAAATCAATATGCTATAGTCATTTTGGGTGCATTTACTTTTCATGAAACAATAATAATTTCAATCCCGAAAAACCATCAATTTTCCGTATAAAATCGAAAAAATCGAA